AAGAGTCTCATTTCTTTGGGTCTTGGATATTTATTTATATCAAATGGCAGGCGTTTTGATGGTTATCATTAGCCCTTTAGTTGACTTCAGGCTTCACAGAGGGGAAGAAACATCAAATTCAAAAAAGTCGAGAGGGGGGGAACAGTAGAGTGTTTCAAAGATGTAAAAGAGACAGACACAAAGGTAGGAAAAAGGTGAGGTGAGTACTGTAAAAATAGTCGAATATGGCATGGAGTGAGGTGATGGTAGTTTGAAGTGAGAAGTCAACTGCCAGTCAATAGACTTTTCTGCCGTATGAATATACGTTACCCAGGGTGCACCACGTGGAGGTAAGTCTATCGCACACCCCGGGTCTCGGATATAAAAGTGGTTCGATGTTTCAATTTCGAATTTTATTATTCCTTCACTGAATTACTAAGAAAGTTCAGTTCAGTACATTGTTGACCCTCTAGTTATGTAGAATAGCTTGCATCACCCATTTAATCACGTTATTTTTAATGCGTGGCCTATTGTAATAGAGCTCAGTAAAATTGAGTTGGAATTTAATTTATTGATTTGAATGTTTTACTTATTGCTGAACTTTTCACAATTATGAGGTAGTGATATTTCAAAATTTCATGACAATGTAGTCTCAACCAAGATAGATTAAAATAAATCAAAAATGATATTTTTGGGGAAATGTGGGGAGGGGTGAGGTAGGGGATTCTTTAACCTCCGACTATACCTTCTCAACCTTGATATGAACGATTTTTAAACCTAACATGAATTGTGCTTTCAACTAGTTGATTCTTTGTTATTCAAACTTTAATTAATCTCTATTATTGAAAAAAATCAGAGGTTGGCTACGGCTTGGTTGTCAAATGTGCAAATCGTTTAAGTGCCCGATCATGAGATCAATAATTATCGATGCGCATCTGATGGTGGGTGGGGAGGTATGTGAGTAATCGTGACTGTTTAATTCCAGTCAGTGATAGAGGCGTCAAAGTGTGAATTCCATGGCCACATATCCTGGCAAAGAATGGCTATCACAATAACATGGAGGAAACAGACGTATGGGCGAGTATAGAGTATGCTGAAATGTTGCCTCCACAACAAACAGGAAACGTATTTTTGAATACAGCTTATGTAACTTGAATGAACTTTAATAGCTGACTAACTGAGAAGTTCTCTGCACGCACGACCCCACCCTCCAGAATGTTCGGATGCGCAGTTTGATCGTGTTAGGATTGCGCTCCCTACAAAATACTAGAGAATTCGACAAGTTCGCTTGCATTTTTTTTCAATTCAATCGATATCAATCAATAAGAGATTGAAATTGATCTATCATCAGCAAATGTTTTTTAGTTGTTGTAATTTTTACTTTGTAATTTATTATAATTTTTAATTTATAAATTAACTGCGCATTTATCTACAAAATCGTCAATTCTTTAGTTTATTTCCCTGTAACCGAATTTGAACTGCGTAGTAGTAAAATATATAAACAAATTATTTCCTTCGTAACATTTTGACAGGTCATTGACGTTACTATTGCTAAGCAACTGCTCAAATATCGAAATTAAAAATAAGGTTGGAGGAATAAATTTAAAAAATCCTGAAAAATATTCATCTAGCATTTTCAGCTCAATTACTGCCTAATTAGCCTCCGATTAATTTCAAGAAAATTATTTAAAAGCACCTGTGTTGGCAAATCGTTACATTGCCTAAACTGTATGGTGAGAAATTTGTATCCTGGGTCACTCTGATCACTAGTGGCACACTGACAAGCAACTGAACCAAGCAATATCTTACTTAATAGAGAATTATCCCAGTCAACGAGTCACTTTGACATCGAAATAGCCTGTATTTAGTGTAATGGCTATATACCATTAGGCGTGTCCCAGTGGTGAGTGGATTAGCTTCATTATTAGTTGACCGACTGGACAACTTGAAACCATTAGAGTCCGCTTACTTTTCATCCCCGAGACCAGAAAGTTTGAGAGGAACTGAGTACATCCACTCACTTTTGTCAATTTTTCAACAAATAGTTTCTAAAGTCGTGAATTCCCGGATATTCGCAATGAGTTAGATTTAGGAGAGGTCGAAGATAATTGGTCATAATAGGAATCCATCACAAATCTTATTAGTGACATTTTGACCTTTCCTTTTTTCAATCTCCATTCGTCGGTTTCCCTGCAGGTTCGAATAGTTGTATCTCGAGTGCGACTTTTCACCGGAGATAATCGACCCTCGGAAGATGAAGAGCTCTATAAAATGGGTTTCAGGAAACGTCTCTCCGCTCCTCTAATCTCCTCGCTCATCCATGCCTTTATGCATCCCTCTTCCTCCTCAACCTCCTCCAAGAAGTCCTCTCTCCAATTCACCAACATGGAGGATACGACTGGATCGTCATTTGAAGAAAATCGCAGTTCTGCTGGCACCAAACGCAAAAGTAATTCTTATTGATTTTTTTTCCTTAAATTTCACTCTGGTATATCTAAAGCTTGCCTAAATGCTATGTAATGAAGCGAACTAATTGAAAGTTTGACGCATTCTAGTGTATGTAATAGTTATGCAATTTGAATGAGCAAGTTAATTGTTAAAAGATATGAGCGATTATATCGTTTTACAGTAATAAAGTATGTTAAAAGGGTTCATAGTCGTAGACATTAGCGGTTAATTCATAAATAAGTGATCGTTTGTGCTTCAGAGTAATAGAATACCAAACTTTGGCTCATCAGCTCTAGGTTGGAAAAATATCCTTGACTAGTGATATTATCGATAATTGGAATACATAAATGGTTTAAAAAATTGGTATTATAGAAACTGGAATAAGTTTTGGAGTTAGTATTGATTCATTGATCAGGGACGTAATGACCAAATTCGTATACGCTTAAAAAATGATGTTGAGACAGACACGACTCTAATTCATTACAATTCAAATTCGTTAGAGCAACATTTGGAGAAGTGAAGCGCTTGAAGAGAATGCATAATTTTAGCGTCTGTGATAAATCAATGACACATCATCCAGAATAATGATTATGGAACAAGTCAATGTGAAAATTCACTTCCAATAAGGTATATTTATTTCAAATGGCAGGCGTTTTGATAGTTATCATTTGCCATTTGGCTGACTTCGGGCCTCACAGAGGGAAGGTTAATCAGAGCAGCAGAAAGTCGAGGGGTGGGGAAGAGAAAAGCAATTCACAGATGTAAAAGAGGCAAACAGACACAAAGGTAGAGAAAAAGGTAAGATGAGTACTGTGGTAGGGGTCGAATATGACAACCAGGGGGGTCGTGGTAGTTTGAAGTCAGAAGTCAACTGCCGGTTTATAGACTTTTTTGCCGTATGAGTATACGTTGCCCAGGGTAGACCACGTGGAATTAAGTCTATCGTACACCCCCAATATGACATATAGTGGGGTGATGGTAGTTTGAAGTGAGAAGTCAACTGCCAGTTAATAGACTTTTTGCCGTATGAGAATACGTTGCCCATGGTGCACCACGTGGAGGTAA